TTGCTAGAAAGGTACTTGATTTAGCATAGGGCACAAATTCTATAGAGAGAAAATGAAGGAAAATTAGCTCAAGGATGGCCAGAATCTGATGTTGACCTGGAACTGACAGCAAGCTTTGGGAATGCTTTGAAGTCTACATTTAGAAATGTGTTGATTTCTAAAAATTCGTAAGTATACTCCCAAAAGCCTAAACCATCCTAGAAAACTTTGATTATTTTTCCCTTGCTATGTGAGAAAACAAGTCAAAATCTTAGAACTCTCTTTAAAACAAAGGGAAGTCAGCATGCTTAGGAGGGAGATGAACAAATCCAATCTAATTTACACTCCAAAAATGTTAAAGCCTAAATATAATTTCACACCCACAAGAAAGGTATGTGAAATCACAACTTTCTTTTGCAAATGATTTTTAGATATGAAAATGTGTTAACTTTATTTTTAATTAATATGTTGAATTTTTCCAGGAAAAAAAGATAATAAAGTTATCACCACTTCTTTGAAGATGAATATGAATATTCATCTGTTCAAAGTAACAATTGGGTTAATGCATGCAAATGTGACTAAATTAGACATAAATTTTCAAAGAAGCATTGTACAGTTTTTAGAGGAAACTCTATTAGAATGACTTAACATCAACTTTCATTTTTATGTGTTTAAAATATGCCCAAATCTTCAGCCGTGTATATCATTAAATAAAAAGGGTTGCAGACATCAACTGTATCTGAATTCAGCTCTAAACAATTTGCCTAAAGGAGGCATTACTACATTGTGGAGGAACTAGCACAATTATTCCACATTTCCATATTATCCAAGTATTGGTTTAGCCTGGTATTTGACACTAGCCATAGATATTTGTCCCACGGCCCAGAGATAGCGTAACTTATGTGGTAGGTAATCAACCTTAACATTTCTTCCCTTTTGGACAGAGATTTTCAAATACCCAGAGGTTAGCAATACCCAGAGGTTAATTTGAAATTTCCCAAGTGATTCTCCTCCTAGGAAAGTCGTAAACAAACACACAGATGATATCTCTTACAACTGGAACTTAGGACCAAGGTGGTTATTACAAAGTAATTTTATGTGGCTTCCTTCAGCACCTGAAAATATTATGCTTGATCAAGTTTGCAGCTTAAAGAGCAAAATAGTTATAAGTTGTGTAGGTGAATAAATGAAAAAGAGAATGTTAGTTATATGGATCATTGAAATGACTGCTTTTGCAGATGCCTCATGAAAAATTCCAACTACTTTGAGGTCTAACATGCATCTGTATCCTAAATACAAATTTCTATAGAATTTAAAATCTGACCTACTCAGTGTAGAACTTGTTTTGTGTTTTATTATTTTATTTTTCTTAGTTTGATCTGTTGGCTCATTACTGCCAGTCTACAAGTTTCAGAGGGCTGAGGGCTCATATCTCCATAATTTTTAATCATCTGTGATATCCACCACGGTGATCTCATTTATAGAAAGACATTACTAATCTCAGTACACCATTCTTTCATTCTAGCTTGTGAGTTTAGTAAACTGTATCAGCAGCAAAGGAGTCAAAGAGGACAAAGTATGTCTGCCCTGTTGTAGTTACCTTATTCCTTCCAGTCTTCAACACCACTGGAAATGGATGGACTCAATATAAAGAATGTACAATTTTTATGTTTGCATTTGGGAGAAGTGTGGCTAGGGAAAGATGGGAGAGAGGAATAAGTGGTGATTTCTTGGACATGCAGTAAGACTATTTATTGTTTACTTACTAAAGAAAATAGGAAGGATAGTGTATTGTCTGATTTAGAAAACTGATAGCTCTTAGCAATGTAAAGGTCACATTCAAATGGTTTGACTATGTGAAGGAAAGTGAAATACCCACAGACATACTAGAAAATGTACAGTCAGATAAGGTGATGTGAATAAGGGAACACAAGGGTTTGGCATCAAAACTGAGGTCCTGGACCTGGCTCAGCTGTTACTTTGTAATGTGATTTAGGATGAATCATTTACTTTCATTGTGCTTCAGTGGTCTTGTTTGTAAAAGCAAAAAATATGATAAGGATTTATAGGATATCAAAAATCATTTGGAAAGTTTCTTTTATAAGCATACTTTAGCTGTAAATGGATTTCAGTGTGGCACTTCCACACAAGCATACAATGAGCTCTGATCTTTTTAACCTTTCCCCTCCACTCTTTCTCATCTCCCTTCCTACTTCCCAGAATGATTTCAGGTGCTTTGTTTTTCACACATTCATTTGAAGTATATCAATCATTTAATAAGATTAATAAAGTTTAATTTCATTTGAAATGCACAATCAGTTCTGTTAGCAAATGAGAAATTATTATAAGACTCATTGAATCATTATCCGAATACCATGAGGCTTATTAATAAAAACAGCCTGCTATCTCAAGTGTCACATACATAGAAGTTAACTGAACTTGTTGAATTAGTCCATGTATAGGTGGCTGAACCGGTCTTAGTGGTTCAAATTTGAGGGGTTCGGGCTATCTGTAACTTCTCCTTTACTCATCTCCCATGATTCTCTTTTTGTGTCCCATGATTCTTTTTGTGTCTGGATTTGAAATGGTCCTTATGAGTATTTAAAGAAGGCTGCTGGAAAAATGCCAGAATTGTCCTTGTGAAGATTATAGACATGATCTTCTAATCCTAACATTAATGTATCACATTAAATCCACTGATCATATTTCAATAGTTTAGAAATTAAGAGTAGAGACACTAGTCCTAAGGTACATTCTGATGAGGAGCAGTCTATGATAGGAACAAGTCTGTGCCAACTAGGAAAGTCTGCTTAATAATGACTTTTGGATTGGATCATGGGGATCCAGGCCATGAGGGCTGTGGTATGGGAATTCTCAGGTTTCTAGTAGTGATGCACAGATGATATGCACACATATCCTTCCCTTTCCTTCATATCCTTATCTAAAATTGAGCCCATGAGTCAAATTAAACTTTCTACTAGGTTTAGACTATCAGAGTTCAATGTAACATGGATAATCTAGTCCAACTCCCTTATCTTGCACACAAAAAATTGAAGAGAAAGAATATTCCCAAGCTCACATCACTAACTGTTAAGACCAGGAGTAGAAACCAGGTGTCCTTTAACTCTGATCAGTGCTCTTTCCCTTTCACATTGTCTACTTTCAGGCTAACTTGTCTAGAGTTGGAAAGAACAAATAAAGCAGAAGAGTTTTAGGGTATATGGCTATTCTAGAGATACAATGGCAGTGAGCTACTAAGCTAGAATCATATTTTGATATGTAGCCTAATTCCTGTTTATAAAATATGAGAAATGAATTGAATAAAAATAAAAATTACCTATCAATATCCACCATTTCAATAAAATGTGTTTTAATCACCCAGCTAAGTTTGTTTAGTATTTCTGATGAACTTGTGATAATACTCAGTCACTGAACTCTGTCCTTGTGGACTATTATGCAAGTTTGTCTTCACATATCATCTGGACCATTCAGGTGATGCTTGAGCAGTTCTGGTTCTGCCTTTACACACAATTAGCGATCAGCAGGACTCAGAACTTTGGTCATTTCTAATTCCCTGCCTAAGTTTCCTCAATGGAAAGATACTTTTGATTTTGAGCCTCAGTTAATGACTTTGGGCTATATACCCTCTTCTTGAGCTTTTTTTCTAATACTTTCTAGCACCTTCTCAGAGACAGTTTTTTTTTTAATTTTTGTTTTTGTTCTTGAACTTTTTTTGTCGGTCGTGAGGCTTGAACTCTGTGCCTGGGTGTTGTCCCTCAGCTCTTCAGCTCAAGGCTAGCGCTCTCTGACTTGAGCACCAATTTTTCCTGCTTGAGTGGTACTGAGGAATTGAACCCAGTGCCTCATGCATGCAAGGCAAACACTCAAACACTGAGCCACCTTCCTAGCCCATGTTCTTAAACTTTTTGAAATAAGGCCTCACCTTTAGCCCAAGTTGGCCTCAATCTCGTCATTACTCCTACATCCACCTTCTGAGTGCTGAGATTAGAGGTGAATGCCACCACATCCAACACACACACACACACACACACACACACACACACACTTTTATTTTATTCTCACCACTACTTTTGCTTTCTCAGGTCTTTTCAAAACATTTTTGAGGTTTCAGTGTGCCTAGTACTGTATTTACCAGGTACCATAAGAGTGGGAGGGAGGGGAGAAAGGAAATGGAGAGGCAAGGGAGAGGGGGGGGAGGAGGAGGAGGAGGAAGAGGAGGAGGAGGAGGAGGGGGAGGGAGAGGGGGAGGGGGAGGAGGAGGAGGAAGAGGAGGAGGAGGAGGAAGAAGGAAGGAAGGAAGGAAGGAAGGAAGGAAGGAAGGAAGGAAGGAAGGAAGGAAGGAAGAAGAGTCCCTAGGTTAAGTGATTTTTAGACTCATGTCTTTTTGAAAGAAAAATCTCAGAGTCTAGATGAGATGCAATTTATGAAATGGACTAATTTGAACATTTGTGAATGTGAAAGCTGTGGCAATACTTTTCTTCCCTTGCACTTTCATGTTCTCCCTACTCCTTTGTAGGATCCTTTCCCAAAACATATCATGGGATCTAGTAGCTGCTCAGGTAATCCCACCATATGCCTTACTTAATATTTTCTCCCTCTGTGTTCTTTTATTCCCATCTTGCTACCAAGCAAAACAAATTTCATTTTATATTTCATTCCCCTGGACTTTCTAAAGTGTAATCCACCTCAACTGATTATAGTTAATAGGATAATGTATAGGCAGTACTTTAGTATTTTCACTTTTTAAGGAGGTCACTAGAGACAGTAGCTTCAAGGATAGATTCTATAAGGAGCAAGGATATTTCAGGCATGGTTTCAAACCTCAGCAGCAGATCATTAGTTAAATTGTAACAGTGAGAGAATTGGGTGGGGTGTAGTTTTGGTTCCCGTAAATCACCCCATATGTAGGAAGCTATTTCAAAGTATTGTGGCGTATGTAAAGTATCTGTGTGTATAAATTAGTCTTCCAAAATCAGCTACGCTGTCAAATAAGGGCCAGTAGGGTCTCCCTCCCTGTGTACTTAATAATCAGTGAGACAGTTGTCATGAGAATGCCTCAGGAAAATATGCTGACCTGGATAAAGAAGGCTTCTATCTTTAACTGTGTTGAGAGTTTGACTGGGGGTTGTCGGATTTTTCTAGGATAGCTCATCATAGTTAAGAGCTCCTTGTGACCAGGGAGTGACTTGTGAACCCTGCCACTGACATTCCTACTTTCTCTCACTCTTCCCAAAGACCAAAAAGAGATGTCAGATGGTAAAAGGATTGCCATTCACTCCACTTTGTTAGTGCTAAGGGCTAAATGTAACTCTCTATACTCTCCTTTGCCCATGGTAATCGATTTCTAGGGTCTCAGTATATACCCGTTAAAATTTCCCCATGGGAACACCTCTTCTGCGCTATATGTGATCACTTGTTTCTGTGTTCTTTCAGGCATGAATAAATCAATCCAGCCAGATTTCCATCGCTTCCTCAGGACACTTTATTGACCTGATTAAGGAGTTCCATCAGCACTGCAGTAAACAGTAGGTACTAAATTATGGCTTTAACTTGTGTTTCAGCATTCTTTCTGAAACAAAGCACTTACTTTGTGGTTCCTGGACAAGTATCAATAGTCTCATTTAGCTGCCTATTTACATATTTTACGGGTCTGCTTGATAGATTATCAGGTAATGGCCAGGTTCTAACAGCCAAAATAAGTGATCTTATACAATATGAAAAGCTGTACTTCCTGAAGTATTGGCTAAAATGTGTTAACTGTGGCATTTTAATAGTGTTCTACTGAATTACATTGGGGCCTGGTTAACAAAGTAAAATTAATCATGCTGATCTTATCTTTGTTTTACAAAGCAATATGGTGTTTGTCATGCATATTTACACTTTGTCACTTTGTAAAAACAATGCATTTTAATATAATTTAATTGTGTTATTGATTTTGTTACTAAGAATAGTTCTTTATTCATTTTAACTTGGCCCTAATTTTATGAGCTGTCTTTCTTAGGTTTCAAAAATGAATGAAAGATCCAGGTACTTAGGCTTTACTTACATTTTGAAAATGTATAAATTAAATACATAGTTTCAATGTTAAACAGAGCATGTGCTTCTCAACCAGTACATGTTGACCACTTTACATACAGACTATAAGATGAAATATGGGAGGTTGATGAAAGGTATATCATTTGCTGAAAATGTAGGTGAATCAAATGACAGGCAAGTGTTTACTGATTGCTAAGTCTCAGGTTGGAGAGAGGTTTGGAAGACAGAAATTTCAGCCTGAGAGTGTTTGTAATGTTTGTCTTTATCCTCTTACACTGGCTGCCTGATCTTAGAAGGATTTTACTGCTACACCAGTCTATCTATGATTGTTAGAGACACATTTAGTACTTGAGCCCAGTTTTGAAAATCATGAGCAAAATCACCCCAGACCACTTAAACCTGCAGAGATAAGCTTATCCAAAGGTTAGACTTTATCCATAGATCAAGATGCATTGTATCCATAAAGTTCTTTGTTGAATGGCAACTCATTTAAATAAAAAATTGTATATATATTGTATATATATACATGTATACATATATTAGACAATCTGCTGCCAGTGTTTATTCATACCATCAGTTATTTTATAGTTTAAAGTACAATAATTTGTTCATTTTATTTAATATGTTTACATGACACTGTAGGATCTTGTAAATAGTAACAACTACTCATAAAAGTAGTTATTGTATTATTTCATGAGATAAGGCAATTGAGATAGAAATGTTTAAGGAACTTAACCAAAGTTACAGAGAACAGGTGAAAAATTCATGAACTCCACCTAAATGAATCTCATGATGTGGCTAGTCACAATTTGAACTAGTGAGGAAAACTAAGAAAATGCTGCAAATAATGCCATTTGCTGAAATTTTCTTTTTTGATTTATTATCACTAATTTTGATTTCATACACCTTTCTTTGGCTTTCTCACAAGTATATTTAAGGGAAAAGAATTTGAAATAAATAAATAAATAGCAAGCAAATACATAAATTATTTTTAAACTAACCCTAATCCAAAATAATTCCATAGGTTTATAGGTGTCCAGGAGTCCAGAATTGAATTTAAAATGGATAGTAACATACAGGTAAGCCATTAGCCAGTGGAAGAAATACAATCAAACAAAAGAGCAAGTATATTTAACAATAAAGAACATTATCTTTTCTCACCTGCAGGTTTTGGGGACTAGTGCCAGTCCAACGTATTTTCAGATACTCGGTGAGTCCTCAGGCTATAGTGGGGGAGGGACTTGTAACTTCCTGCCCTATGAAGGCAGCAGTCTATGGTAGAAAAAGTAAAAATAGCGCCACATTGCCACAAAGAGGTACTCTCTATTTCATTTTCATGTATGTGAGTAGAGAGGAGGAGGTGAAGCACTTTCTTTTTTTAAAAATCTGATTTTTTTCAACTTGATTTCTCTTGATTTTACTTTCTTTGATCAGAGTACAATGTGTCTGTGAAAAGTAAATCTCAAGAGTTGATATCTTAAAAAGCACAGTGACTGTGCTTTTGAGTTACATATTTTGCATAAGCTTATGGCATGCTGAAAACATCGTAAATATCCAGATGGGTGTTTTAAAAAGGTTCTGTGACCTTGATGTTTTTACTTTGTTGTCTTGCTTGTTATTGAAGCTTTTTGTTTACTTCTGAAATACTTAAGTTAGCACATTGTGATTATTTGGGGAAAGCTATAGTTTCCAGCCCACTTATTTTCAACCACTGGCAGAGGAACCATAAAGAGGAGCAAATTTTCTTGTTGGAGGTAGGTGCGAGGGGTCAAGCCTCTAAATAAAATCATCTGAATATACCTTTCAATAAATAAAAAAAGAAAAGTGTTATTTGGAAGAAAAATTCCTGTGGTCAATACCAGTAATTAAAATGATAGCTTTAAAAAAATAAAATGATAGCTTTTAAAGATTGTATTGTAAAGTTTATTCAGGTGTGAAGAATTGAAAAGAATGGTTCTAAAAATGTATAGCCACATTTATGCTTTTTCATTTAACAGGCATTTTCTAAAAATCCCCTAATGGGTTTAAGTTCGAGGTGTTGTAGGAGAGACACAGATGAAGAAGAAAATGTCTTCATTCTCAAAGAGATTATGATCTAGACGTATAGATGACTAACTATGCAATCAAATAGGATGTAATATGTCAGACTCTGTTAACAAAATCAGGAACATACTGTGGCTATTGCAGAAAGCAGGGTTCTTATAATATTTCCACACATGCACACAGTGCACTTTCAGCTAATTTGCCTCCTTTACCATATTCTTACTCCTTCCTTGAATCCCCACATACTATGAATGCTTTCTAATACCAAATAAAACTGAACCAAAGAAAGGAGGGCTAACTCACTTGGGATGACCAAGTAATCTAGGAGGAAAGGAGATGATCCTTTCAAGAATTTTCATCAAGCCAAGCACTGGTGGCTCAAATCTGTAATCCTAGCTACTTAGGAGGCTGAAACCTGGAGGATAGAAATTCGGGCCAACCCAGAAAGAAAAGTCAGTGGGACTCCACCTCCAATTAACCAACAAAAAGTAAAATTAGAGTCATGGCTCAAGTGGTAGAGCAGTAGCTGTGTGCAAGCCATTCTAGTGAGAGTATGAGACACTGAGTTCAAAACTCAGTGCCGGCAAACAATAAAGGATTTTTATTCTAGTGTATTGTATGTATATATGAATATGTCAAAATTAATCCTTTTGAATGAACTAATTGTGCTAATAAAGTGAGGAAAAAGAAGGTGATGATATTTACACAGTATCAATATACTTAGTCATTGAAATGTATACTTAAAGTTATTGTGATGTATACTTTGTTTACAGGAATAAAAATTCTTTAAAATTAGTAGTGTTAAAATTATGTTTCAAATTTTGTTTCACCTCAGTGTGAGAAAGAAAATAATGATGGGAAACTGTAACATAAGGATGTTAAAGCTCAAGTCATAGACCTTGACAGCAAAGTGAATATTGTGTGCCAGGATAAATAGCATAGTGTAAAACCAGGACATTTGGAAAGCTAGAAAGGGAGAAGAGGGCCTTGAATATTTTCTGTTTAGGTCTCTATAGTGTGAACAGTTGATGGATTTGGCACACTTCATGAAATGCTGTAAATTATTTCTGTCTGATACAGATAACTGTAGAAATATGTCAGTATAAAATAAGAAAGTCGTGCTAATTAACATAATAAAAGGGAAGTACTGTATGGCTATTGGTCATGTCAAAATGTTATAAACAGAGATAAAGCATGAATATTTATTTATCATTCTGAAGTAATTGTGGATGTTACTGATTTCATGTTGGAAAGGCATATACAAAACTCACTTGCCAATGTGAGTTCATTATTTTCTTGCCTATAGTTATTTTTGGCGGGGAGGGGTCCGGTCATGGGGCCTGAACTCTGGGCCTGGGCACTGTCCCTCAGCTCTTCAGCTCAAGGCTAGTGCTCTACCACTTGAGCCACAGCGCCACTTCCGGCTTTTTGCTGTTTGCTTATGTGGTGCTGGGGAATCGAACCCAGGGCCTCATGCATATAAGGCAAGCACTCTGCCACTGAGCCACCTTCCCAGCCCCTTGCCTAAAGTTTTTAGATTGATGTTATCTAGCTATTTGAATTAGCCTAGAGTAGAAGCTAATAATATCTTTTTTGGAAAGCATCTACAAAATATTGAGAAGAAAGTTTCTTAGATGCTTTTTTAACTTAAAGTATGGTCTTCAAGAATGGCTGATGTATTTTCTTTTAAAGCCAAAGAACAGTCATATAAAATGTTGGTCCAACAATCAGTCTTTCACTAGAATTCCTATCTTAACTTGCGTTAGTTTTCACCACACTGAAATAAGTAGAGTCACATAAAATTTTAAAAAATGTTGCAAATAATGCAACTCAATGAAAAAATACTTAGTGACAGAGTACTATTCAATGAACACAAGCATGCAAAAATCTAGTCACATTATTCCTATTCATGAAGCTTCAAGGCTTGGCTTGACCCCAGAGTGGATATGGGATCTTTTTCAACACTTCATAACTGTCCTAAAGGAGAGGGAAAATTGTTGTGAATCTAGTACCTAGTGATGTTTTGTGGAAAGAAGAGTGTGTGTCATATAAAAGAGACCCATCTGATTCACTTTTCGCCATTTCTTTTCAATCAATAATTTAATATCATCTCAGAAAAATATACTAACAGTTATAATGAGGATTTATGATATTATTTAATGTTTTGTGCTTTATATCTGGAGCACTGTAGGATGGTATCTGAGTAGCTATGTCATTACCTAGGTTCGTGCATCATAGGTACAATTGGGTTGCCATAAGTAGCTTTGCTTTGAAGTTAATCTGTCTACCTTACCTCTATAAGGGGTGGTTTCAGGAAAATGGATACTTAACCTTTTAATACTTTACAGTCATAGCTCTGTTCTTAAATATGGTTGTTTTCAAAGGAAGAAGAGGCTGGGCAGTATATGCATTGACAGCAGTGTGTCACCCTTTCTGCTTCTATGTAAACCTAGAGGCCATGTATGGAGTTGCTATCAATGGTAAACAATCAGTCAAGGAGTCTGGCTATCTTTTGTCACTTTTAGTGATGCTCCAGTGACAGAGACCAGGAAGATGCTTCTGAGTACCAAAGGCTGTCAAAATCACTTTGTTTGCTTTTGCTAATCAGGAAGAAGGAGAAATGTAGGACCATAATTCTGGTTCCTGGCACGTTGTTACTGCTTATAAATTTTAGAGGCTATTTTCTGGAGTGAAACTAGTAGCCAACTCTTTATAGTCTTGTTTAATTGATGGGATCCATTCATGATTCACATGAAACATGATAGAAATTTGAGAAGTAATGGACTAGAATCCTATTTCGTGGAAATATTTTCTAGTTAATATTAATTTATTTTTTATGTTTTTATTGTAAAAATACTGTACACAGGGGTTACAGTTACATGAGTAAATAATGAGTACATTTCCTATCGAACATAGTTGCCTCCTCCTTTGTTTTTCCCTTACCATCCCTTCTCTCCCCACCTCTCCAACTTCTCCCTCCCCCCCCCCCCCCCCCCCCCCCCCCGCAAAGTTGTAAAGTTTGTTTTCAACATAGTGTCTTGTACATCTCATTGTTACAATGGGTCAACCTGTATCCTTATTTAAGCATTTTGTTATTTCCTTTCCCCTCCTCCAATTAGAAAAATGTATATACAAGATGCAGGGAACGGGAATCAAATATAGTGAAAACAGGGATTATACCGTGGGAGAAGAACATACAAAAGAAACAAAAAAAATCACATAGTACATTTTAAATATGTTAAAAACAATAGCAAGAAAGAAGAAAAAAACAGTTGTGTCCCTACCCTGTGGTTCATTTCACTTAACATCATCTTATATGGTCATATTACATAGCTTTTGACCTTTTTGGTTTGTTCTAGACATATACTAGTTATTGCAAATAAGGGAAACCATGGGACCTATGTTTCTTTGGGCCTGGCTTACTTCACTTAATATATTTTTCCCCCAAGTCTTTCCATTTCCTAACAAATGGGTGATGTCATTGTTTCTGCCGAAGGCATAGAATTCCATTTTGTGTGTGTGTGTGTATGTGTGTGTGTGTGTGTGTGTGTGTGTGTGTGTGTATACACCACATTTTCTTGATCCATTCATGTACTGAGGAGCATTATGGAAATTTTTTAAAGTAATAACTGAGGGCACCATGTACATTTAGAAGTAAATAATTCATTGTTATCACCTGTGTTTTAATATTTTAACTCAAATAATTTTCCATGAAGATTTTTGTGAAACTAAATATCTCACTGTCTGTTTGAAGGATTGTATATTATTGTTTTTCTCTTTAAAATGAAATGCTATAGACTTTGGAAAATATGTGGAGATAATTTTTCCAAATATAAATAAGGCAAAAGGAACTGTGGAAATAAAAGGTACAATGCACAAATAACAGCAAACCGTGATACAGTAAATAAGCTGCTAAAAGAAAAACCATATGAAAGCTCTGGGATCTATTATACAAGTTTCAGAAACTTTTGTGTGTGTGTGTGTGTGTGTGTGTGTGTGTGTGTGTGTGGTTCTGACAATCACTGGGAAAGGCTACCCACTTTGATTTTCTGGGCTTGATCTTTAAAGGTAAGAGTCAGGCATTCCCAGCCTGAACACTCTCGACAAGGTGAAAATCTTATCCTTAAGGTGAAATTCTCATCCTTAGGGAAGAGGAGATTGGACCCA